ATGCACTGGTGGGCGTGGCCAGCCCCGGGGGGGGCGTGGCCAGACAAAAAACGGGGTTGGGGGGGTGGGAGGGGGAAATTTTGGGGGAATTTGGGAAAAATTTGGGGGTTTGGGAGGGGAAAAATGGGGATTTGGGGGCGTGGCTTGACTGGGAGGGGGCGTGGCTTGATGTGGGCGTGTCCTCTGCTTGTTTCCCGCCAATCCCGCTCCATATATGGTGATGTGGGCGTGGCCTCCACATGTTTCCTGCCATTTTCCCATATATGGTGATGTGGGCGTGGCCTCCACTTGTTTCCCACCATTCTCCATATATGGCGATATGGGCGTGGCCTCATAATTTATGTAAATGGCGGCTTTGCTCCATATTTGGAGCTGTGGGCGTGTCCCGGGTTGACCACGCCCCCTCTTGGCCCCGCCCCCAGGTCCACCCTGCAGGGGCTGACGTCACACAAAGCCCTGGGGGGGGAGGGGCACCCCCTGCTCCGGCGCTACTACGAGAGCAGAGTGAGACTGGGAGAACTGGGATGGACTGGGATGGACTGGGAGGGACTGGGAGGGAACTGGGAGGGGCTGGGAGGGACTGGGAGGGACTGGGATGGACTGGGAGGGACTGGGAGGGAACTGGGATGGACTGGGAGGGACTGGGATGGACTGGGAGGGACTGGGATGGACTGGGAGGGAACTGGGATGGACTGGGAGGGACTGGGAGGGACTGGGAGGGACTGGGAGGGACTGGGATGGACTGGGAGGGACTGGGAGGGACTGGGAGGGAACTGGGATGGACTGGGAGGGACTGGGAGGGACTGGGAGGGACTGGGATGGAACTGGGATGGACTGGGATGGACTGGGATGAACTGGGATGAACTGGGATGAACTGGGAGGGGTTAAATGGGAACTGGGATGAACTGGGATGGACTGGGATGAACTGGGAGGGGTTAAACGGGAACTGGGATGAACTGGGAGGGGCTAGATGGGAACTGGCACGGACTGGCACGAACCGCTGCAATCCCAGTCCCAAACTGGTCCGAACTGGTGCAATCCCAGTCCCAGACTGGGAGTGGGCGTGTCCCGCTGTGACCCCGCCCCCTTTGGCCCCGCCCCCAGCCGCTGCTGTTCCTGCTGTGCGCCGGCAACGAGAGCTTCTACTGCTGCCTGTACCTGCTGCACTGGGGGGAGGGGCCGGCCGGTGAGCTGAACTGGTTTGCACTGGTTTGCACTGGTTTGCACTGGTTTGGATGGGTTCTTACTGGTTTGGACTGGTTTGGGCTGGTTTGGGCTGGTTAGGACTGGTTTGGGTTGGGAGGGGGGTTGGGGGAGGGGGTGGGAGGGGTTTGGAGGGACTGGTTCTTACTGGTTCTTACTGGTTCTTACTGGTTTGGACTGGTTTGGACTGGTTTGGGCTGGTTTTGATTGGTTTGAACTGGTTCTTACTGGTTTGGACTGGTTTGGGTTGGGAGAGGGACTGGGAGGGGTTT